CTCTTGAACACTTCTTAACCTGTCCCCTACTGCTCTTTATAATCATAGTCACTTTACTGCCCATCATACTTTACTTCACTGTACTGCTGTCACCTTACATTGTGTGCCCCATGGGCACTTGTATATTGTATATAGTAATTGTAACTCTATTTTAAATTTATTCCTTAGAAGTGCTTTTATTCTTTATTTTGTATTATGCCTTCTCTACCCTTACCTCTCTTTCTGACTGTTGCACTGAGCCAAAGCAATTTCCAAGTCTGTGATTTCCTGTTACTTACGTGCCAATAAAAATGATTTTGATTGTACACTGTTAACCTTTTTTTCTGCTAACATTTGATTCAAATATGTTTAAGATGATGTTTAGCGATTTTGAACCCCATCTGTTAAAGTTTGAAGTAATATTTTAGATGTTGGCCAAATCTTCCCCAGAACAGCAGTGGGCAAAGAGCGTCTCCTTGGTAGAGCCATCTTCACAGGATGCAGGTTCAGGACCACTCAACCTTCAGTTAGCCAAGGGTGAATATCCAAGCAGCTTTGTACATTGTAAAACAAGGTATATGCATAGGAAGAATATGAAGAGATCTAACCTGACCTTTTGCATGGATTGTTTGTATACTGTATATTCAGAGACAAAAAAGGGCAAAATGACCTTGTAGTAAAACAAAACTGAAGTATATTACTGTACAGTTGCTGAATAGAAAAGAGGTAGAAAGTTTGAAAGTACAATAAAATATAATGTATCTTTTTTATTTACATTAAGATAGTCCCTAAAAGTGATGATACACACTTTATTTTATTAGTTGCCGCACTTTACAAAATTGTTGATTTGCCACTATCAGATTTTAAAATAAAAATATTAAAACAGTAATTACTAACAATAGTAAAGACAAACTAACCAATGTTGGCTAACGAATCGGGCAAATGGTTGAATGTCACAGGGCATCTATGCTATCCTTTAACAAAGAAACTGAAAAAAAAACTGGGGGTGAGAGAAGGTAAAAGGGTAGAGCCAGTCCCATGAATTGACAGGTTGTAGATGATTCAACATATACTATACTAGCCGAAAAGTATTCTACTAAACTACTATACTCAAGCTGAAATGACTAAATTTCAGGCCAAGAAAAGTATCCGTGAGAACAGCCTGTGAACAGCTGTTTGAGATCCATCCAAGAAGATCACACTTGAGTTGTGGTACATTTTTGTGGTGTTAAAGCATAACGCCACAAAATCTGTATTTTTATTTTTTTTAATTAAAAACCTATATATGAAAAAAAGAGTAAACAGCCAACTGCCAGAATTTGTTGGAATCGAAATGAATCCATATTGACAATATTCTGTTTAATAAAATCTGTCTTCAATTCTAATTTTTGTTTAAAATGTTTGCAAAGTGTGTAATCCTACTCCCTTTGTGTTCAAACGCAATGTCCTGAAAATATTAAATAAGTAGCTCACATTTGGTATGTGCATAATTCCATCCACCTTTGGGATCTCCATGACAACTTGATGATCTGACATTTTCAGAACTCTTGGCTTTATTTTTTTATATTTTCAAGTAAAAAGTTTTATAGTGACAATTTTCTGGAAAAGTAAAACATAATGATGGGCTTACAGAATAACAGACCTGATTCTGCCAAATAATACAGCAAATCCCTATGAGGTTAACCAAAGAGCCATGTAAACATTCAAAAGCCTGCACACCATAAACTTAATTATTCCAAGCGTGCTCTCAAAGATCTGACGCTATAATTACAACAACTTGGTGCAAATAATACATTTCTGCCAATAAAGGCAATTTCCAAACATAATTGGCAACATGTTTTAATACATATGCATGAAAAGAGGATTTTCCATATGACCACCTTATGTAATTGATTGAGGGGACAACCCTTATGTTAAATGTTATTTGAGAACCATCAAAACCTGCAAAATTGCAAATAGCCCAGCTTGCATGTGAATTAATACCTCATTCATCATCATTATGAGTTGATAAGTTAATCTAACCATTTCATTCTATCTTAATGAGCTATAGTTGAATTAATGTCATGTAATATATGAAAGTAACATTTGAACAGGGGCAATGATATGAGACAAACAGTGTGCAGGCTGCTTCAGAAGTATAATGGTGGCATAAATCTCAACAGGCTTCCCTCTGCATTAGGCTGCCTGATAATCCAACAAAGGCATTGAGGCCTGTGTATAGTTTCAACATCAAAATAAAATCCTAATAATGCCCCCTTTTTCTTTATTTTTATCCCCTTGTGAGTGAAATAAGGCCCGAATGTGTCCGCTAAAGGAAAAACAAAAGGCTGGGACGCAATTGCCTCAGATGATGAGCCAAAGCCTATCCATCCATACTCGTGTGTCATGAGCACAGCCCCTCTCACTCAGCTCGTTCCAGCCTAAATGCGTGTTGGCCCCGCTTGCTCCCTGTAGTTTAGGTTTTTTGTCCTCCCCGCAGCAGCTGTCACCCTGCATTACTCGCAGTCAGCTAAATGAAACATTATTCTAAACATATGCATCGTAATCAGTCCGGTCACACTTACAAGAACACGCGTTAATAAGGCAATCAATCATGGTGGAACAAGCAAGTTGTTCTGTAACAGCTCATAAACAGTGTGTAATGAAGAATTGGAGGTTAGCATGACACGGCGCTGATCAGATAATCAATGTCAAAGATGCGATGAATGTCAGTAAATGTAGTTTTCATGTCGTTTCTATAAAATCCCCAATTTACACTAGCAGTTCAATTACCCTGAAAATACAGTCAATTAAATGGGGCTGATTGGACAGTAGGGGCGCAGGATCATCGATCTTTGCATTTCTATAGCCACTGGACATTTAATCTGTGCTTTCTATTAGCGCAGAAATAAAGAAAATATAAAATGTCTTAACCAGACCAAAGATGTATTTGCTTGTCAACCCCATTGAGCGAAGGTGACAGTCCTTGCTGCATTGAAGATGCGCTCCTCTTCGCTCTTGCGCATTGACCACAAAACTAATCGTGTTATTGGGGCTGGTGTTTTTCTGGCCTCTGTCTTCTCCTTTTTAGCCCACCATCTATCTCAATGCCTTCGGTGTTGTAGCCTAGGCTATGGTGGAACCCTATGTAGTGAAGAGCAAGAAATCACGTGATATATCACGCCCTATTTGCTGCCCTAATCCTATTTCTTTAAATGGGGATGCTCAAAAAAGCAACTTATCTTATAGTCCCACAGGAGAATATTGCAGGTGGATATATTTTAACCAAGTGCAATTAAGACAGAATCAGCTAGTATCATTTAGAGGTAATGTAAAAATAATGGTAAATTATAGGACCGGAATGACCCGTGATGGCAGGCCTCATATTCCCAGTAGCTTTACACGTCACTTTAATTAATACAACGAATTGTTTTCGGCACCTAAATAAGCTCTTATTTTTGCAGATAGTGTAGCTCCATAACCTATATTTCAATCAGTGGTGCCTACCATTAATATGCAGCAGCCCAAATCTGTAAAGATGTCTTTTTTATTTCGTTTACAAGAACAAACACGATCAATAAATAACAGGATTTACATTTCGTATTGCACATTTTAAGTTAAAATATTTATAATACAGTCATTGATCATTTAAATACATTGATAAAGAAATTACAACAAAGACCAGGGACAACGGCCAATGGAAATTAAACATTTTCAGTGCTTTCGTTTCAGCCCTTAAAGCCTTTGTTTTTGTTTAGGTTCAGGTTAAGACTATTTTTGAAGGGCCCATTTTATAGTAGTATACGCTGTGGTGCATCCAGTGTTGGACAATAAAACATTCAGAAATTCATATAAAAATAAATTAAAAGCAAAAAAATAAAACAAGCACCAAGAATCTAACCCAAGCCTGTAATCGTAATATGCCTAAGTCATTGTGCTGAAGGGAATCAGTAGCAAAATATGTCACGATTTATATTTCACATGTTGTATCAACATATCGGGAATATGTCCCAACAGGAACGAATATTTTAGGCAGCACTTTGTCGAGGCGCTGATAGAGGTTAAAGTCGGGCTGTAGTGAACCCTCTGGTCTGCAGTCAATAGTCAGCTGCAGAGATGACAACACTGGACTTCACTAACGAGCTCCGGCCATACACACTGAACACTGGCATTTTCTATTATTAGCCAACGGATTGTGTGCGCTCTTTGTAGGTTGCAGTTTAATTTGGAAGCCCCTTTTAGCCTCATAGGCCTACAGTGCTTTCTGTCTGTCGCTTGGTTTTGTTCCACCTCTTTTGTATGTCTAATGACTTCCCTCCGCGGGTTGTTAGCACATGACAGCGGCTCTCCCAACGACCGGCACCACTACTGCCATGTATTCAAAGGAGCTCCATCTAGGTATATGATTGGCAATTTTTGTCATGATCCTCTCATTATTAACATAAAAATTGACATGAAAGACGCGGCGCAAAATGATATGCACCTTGTAGCTGATTAGGGGTGTCCCCATAGAGCACAGGCGGTGTAGGACGACGATATCGCTGCCAAAATCTCAGTCTATTAGGTCTAGTGAAGAAAGATGGCCAAGAAGCACCTTCTGCTTGAGACGCCTAAATTAGAGTGCACTGCTGCCCTACAACACCAAGCTAATAATGCTCACCAGGTTGAAATTCACAGCCAAAAATGCCAAGGTTTGAGTGGTTGAGTTATGAACTCTACATGTTGGCGTAGGCCGAGGCCTAAGTAATATAGCCTTTCGAGGAGTGAATATTAGAGATATATCGTGCAATAGATATCTTATCTTGTGCACAACCTCTACCTGTTGTTGGAAACATGTATAGAACTTTTTTGGTTGATTTAAGAACAGTATACACTGGATTCAAAGTTTAAAAATCCCCGCAGGCCTAACGGTCGAACGGATGTTTGGAGAAGGACATAATTTTGGTTTTGTTGGTTTTACAGTGCCGTGAGAAGATGCTCCATTCCTTTGGCCAGACCTACCAAAAAGTTGATGTTTTTTCTTCAATAAAGCCTGGTTGGAGTTATCTGTTGTGTGACGATTCTTCTCGCTGATCTGGAGATGGGACTGAGGTCTTGCTGAGGACAGCGGCAGAATAGGGCAAAAAGCTGCTTTCGGAGCGTTGCGAGGATGCCGTGCAGGTAAAGTCAGCACTGGTGCTCCGGGAGCCTATGGCGCTGGCAGCCTGACTGCTGTGGCAGCTCAGACAGGAGCACGGCCCAGCGGCTGAAGGCGCACTCACGGCTGCAGCTGCCGCCGCGGCTGCGGCTGCTGCTGCGGCTGAGCTGTTCAGGCCTGCGGGTGACTGGTACAGTCCCGGGTGTCTGAAGCTGCACAGGAGCTCCGGCCGCGAGTACGGATGTGAGAGTGCGCGGAACGTGTCAAGAGGCCGTATAGATGTGGCAAATGGGGAAGAGGCGGCCCCAGAGGCAGCTGCAGCCGCTGCCGCAGCAGTGACCCCCACGTGTGGGTAGTAGTGGAGAGGCATGTGCGAGTGGAACGGGTAAGGTAAACTTCCGGTAGCAGCCGCGTGCGTCATCATGTAGGTGTAGAAGCTGGGGTCTGCGGGATGCGGCCAAGACATCGCCAAGCGCTGCCTCTTGTCCTTCATTCTCCGGTTCTGAAACCAGACCTGCACAGAGGCATAAGAAAAGCCTTTAATACTGGATACAGAGAGATGCATAGAGACACATAGAGACACATACAGATATACATAGAGACATACATAGAGATACCGACAGAGATACAGATACACAGAGATACAGAGAGACACATATACATACAGAGATAAATTGAGACACAGAGAGATACAGAGATGCACAGATTTTATGTGGGATACATCCTATGTATGTACATATTTATACATATATCTGTGTACAGACATACACACGGATGCCCACATCACAACGCCACGAGCATTTAGCCTGGAACACGAGGCTGGGTTTGAACGGGCTTCCACATAGGACACCAACACGTGACTGTACGTACAAAACTCATGCATGAGCATATCTTCGTTTTACTCAGGTGACAAATATTATATTAATATTAATATTATTGTTGTTATTACAGTTACTACTATTATTATTATTCATAATAATACATCGCTATTAGATTCCTTATATCGGCCTTATATGTATAGATTATTTTCCTAATTCGGAAACATCAGACTTAAAAATTTATTTCAGAAAATAAATCTATATATTTTCAAGGATTTGTAGAAATTGAATTCAAAATAACCAAACATTTGTATTAGTATTGACAATCGCACATGGATAGGCGCTTGTTATATTCAGGGGAGATGGATGTATAAATAGCCTATTCGATATATATCTAATAGTATTTATATATAAATATGAAATAGGCTGTGGCACTTTTCCTCTGTTTGCAAAAAAATGCAACACGCGTGTAGGCCAGACCATGAGCAGCAGAATAAAGAAGAGAAATGCACCTTGATGGTGGTTTCGGGTAGATTTAGAGCCGCAGCCAGCTCACACCTCCGCGGCCTGGACACGTAATTTTCCCGATAGAACTCCTTCTCCAAGCGGCCGATCTGCTCTCGCGTAAAGGCGGTGCGGTACCTCCGGACCTGGTCTGCGTTGGAGCTGTTGCCCGCGGAGCTGCCGTTCATATTGGACAGAGAGCTGGAGCTTGTGTTGGAGGACGCAGAGTTACTGTCTGAGAAGCCTTGAAGGATCAAAACAACACATGTTAGCCTCGTTGCACTGGTTATAATTACCCTTGTATCATAGGCTTATATAATCAAACTATATTTGTGCCCCAAGAATATTAGCAAATGCTAAAATTGATGATCATCGAAATTATAATTCAGCTTTAAAAACACATAAAATTCAAACTTATAGAAAAAGGAATTATTTCGGCCCAATCATTTTATTGTGTGTGTGATACTGAAAAATTATAAAATATGAAAATATTTAAATCAAATTGGCCTTTTGATTTGAATTAAATAGAATAAATAATAGTATTAACATGTCTAATAATTATCACAGTTAAGATAAATATTACAGCTTTAAAATAAAATATTTTTTAAAACCAAAGTATACTCTCTATCCCCATACGCGTCCAGGAGTAGATACCTTTGTTCTCCTTGTGCTGGCTGGGAGAGCGGTGCGCCGGGCATCCCACCTCCACATCGCTGTTAATATCAGACTCGTGGGAAACTTCAGAATAAAGACTCATCTTCTTCCTGTTATCCGGCGATGAGATGTCCGCTGAGCCGTTGTCGCTACTGTGGTGCGAGCCGAAGAGACTGTCTATTTCAAACTTGCCTTTGCTCGGAATATCCCCCAGGTTCCCGTGCAGAGAGGCGGAGGTGATCCTGGGGCTCAGGCGGCCGCTGTGCTGTGAGTTTTCCAGGGCCTCGAGGACGGAGTTTCCCGGCGTGTCCGTCAGCCTCTTCCCTGCCACGGGACTGTGCAGCCCCCTCTCCATCAAGATCATCTCCTTTCTTATCCTCTCCATCATCAAGCCGCGACGCCAAATAACACCCACCGAGACTTGTCGAGGGGGCTGGATCACCAAACACTTTACGTATAGTCTAGATCCGCATGCAACTCGCGTGCAAGTGTCTCTAAGTACGCGTCTTTTTATAACGCACAAAATGAAAGAATGGCGACTGCTCAAAACGACTCGAGAATCCTCCCCACAGCAGCATAAATGTCATTCATCAAAAAGTGCGCGCTGTTCGCTCTTCTAATGCTCGGCTGACGTCGCTCCAATGATCATTTATTGTAACAGGTTTATAAGCAAATAAATAGGAGAGGGCTGTCACTTGATGATGGAGGCGGCCTTCGGTCAGACGAATAATATCCAAGAGAGAGGAGCGGAGTGGAGTGAGGCTGCTACATCTCTGTGTCTGATCAGCTCTGCTCTGGGGTTTGGCCTCTTGGCTCAAATTGACAGTCTGATTAATAAAATGAGCCCGGCAACGCTTCCCTCTTCATTTAGGAATATTATCAGCCTTTGATTCTCTATTGTTCACCTGCCCCTCCCCATTCTCTCATTTAAGGAGCTTGGTCTTTTATTTACAACTATTTCACAATCTTTTGCCCTTATTCCAGATTTATTTGTATGCGTAATTATTCATGTTTCGTTAGATTTGCAGCTTTTCGATGCTTTATTCCACGCTTGATCCACATATCTGCTCCAAATGACAATCTATATATTTAGATAGGGGTGATTATAAACATTGGTTTAGTTACATATGCAGAATTTAGAGAATGATTTAAAACATGCAAGTAAAAAAATAGCTTGCTCGATAATACAATGCCCTTATGCTCGTAATGGATTCATTAACTGCACTTCTCATTTTGCATAAAGGCCATTTATTTTTTTTATTTTGTATTTTTCGTTTTGTTTACAACTTTGCCATAACATTAGCCTTTTCACTGTTGCAGTTACAACCAAAGAGGCAGGCTTGGATTAAAGTCGCTATGAACGCACACATAATAATTGTATACATAATATTTAAACAAGAATAATATCTTGACACGCTGCCGTGAAAAACTGTTAATGCAGAGTGGGAGAAACACACGCGTCCACCCCGCACCTTTATAGAGCTCCTTTACGTTCTGTGCCGCCCCCTACTGGTCAATGCGAAGAACGACAACACAAAGCTGTATTTTAGGCTATGAACACAGGGGAGCGGGGAGCGTAGAATTTTTAAAAGTTTTTAAATGGACTTGGCTAAGAGAACAATGTTAACAGCCCGGGGTACAAAATGATTACAGTTTAAAATCCAAAGCTGTTCAAAGATATAGGGCATGGTTGGATAGGGCATTGGGGCATTATGAAATGTTGATTTAATGCTCTGTCCCTGTAATAAATGAATATAACGTCGTTATTCGTTACGCTAACAGTTTTTATCCACAAGCTGTTATCAGTGTGAACAGAGCACTTTAATGATTTGCACTTGTTTTGAAACTGTTTTAGTCGATCGATTTCACAGTGATTTTACTGTTTTATTTGTTTTATTTTTGTCTTTTAATGTTGTTTTATGTCTGTATTTGTCTGTGCACACTGGAGACTTTTGCTAATGTATTCCAATGTGGTTTTTTTACTGCAAATGGCAAATAAACTGAATCTGAATCTAACGGTCACATATACATGGTTTGATGAGGAGTCTTCCAACAACAAAACAGGACACAGAGTTTGGAGAAAACTAAGGCCCTCCTAAAGAAAATGAGCCGCAAGGAAGTTTTAACTAAAAGGCCAACAGCTTTCAACCTCAGTTAGTCTTCATCAGGGCTTAAAATAAAACAGTCAACGCTTGTGATTCACAGCAAGAAAGTCCAGAGTTCAATTCCACATTTGTATTTGTATTTGTATTCATTTTATCTGTAACATCCCAGCCTGTCTGTGTGGAGTTTACTTGCTCTCCTTGTGTCTGCGGATAGGTTTCCCGCGGGCACGCCGGTTTTTCCCCTACCACTAAAAACATGTACAATAATAGTTCAGGGTGAATGAATGAGTGAAGGTGGGTGCGAGTGTTGGACAACGGATGCGAATCAGCCCAAAGCTACAATCCGGAGAGGTGTGTTAATTTACATGCACTGTCCCAACCAAATAAACTATAAAATAAAATAAAAGTAGTGATGCAGAACGGGTGTACAAGGCATTAGGAGAATGGGAGGATGGGAAAAACTCTTTTAACCATTTGAGTTTAACACCTTCAGCATATACAGCCACATCTGGCAGTTTATGAATGAATGACCCTGGTTTTAAGCTGTTTCTTATTAGAGATATGTCAAATGTACCTCCTTAAAATGAGGTGGCGCAGCGGTTAGCACTGATGCTTTCACAACAAGAAAGTCCTGGGTTCGTTTCTCCAGACAGGGCCTTTCTGGGTGGAGTTTGCATGTTCTCCCCTGTCTGTGTTGGCATTCCTCCAGGTACTAACCCTAAAGACATGTTAATGTGTGAGTGCGACTGTGCGACTGTGGATGCAGATCAGCCCACGACCACTACCGGAGAGGTGTGTTCACTTGCATGCTCTGTCCGAATCGAATGAACAATAAATATATAATATTGAATATAAATATAAAGTATAGTCTTAAATGCTAAAGCAATTCAAGGAAAGGTTAAAACATTGCATTTGTTCTTGCTTAAGTAAAAGTAAAGGGATGTTATATGTTCTTACATGAAAAAAGTATAAGGCCTTTTTGGCTTGCTAATGTATATGAGACATTTAGCTGTAGTATGTTTTGCAATTCATTATTATTTATTTAGAGCTTCACAAAGTCACAAAGCACTTTAAAATTGTGTTTTTTTCCCCTCCTACTCCAAACAATGATGGGAGCAGGGTTGTAGACTGAGGTGTTTCATACTGGCAAAGAACATGACAACACACCAACACGTAGAAACAGAATGCAGCCTATACTGAACTTAGAAGCATGGCTAACCACAATTAGTTCATTCACTTCATATCACACATGTAGACATTTCTGGTGCATGTTTGAGTTTTCATGTCATTCTTTCATAACATGCCATAACTAACCCATATTCAAATGAGTATAGATTATTTATTTTGAGTAAAAGTAAAATAAAATAAGAAGTAAAGTAGACAACCGATAGCATTACTTTTAGACCTGTGCAGGGTTTGCAAACAAAGACGAATTGAAAACACTGGAGACGCATGCATTCTTGAAAGTGTTTTTGGTCCAATCCTCCAGGTTGATAAGATAACTATCACAAGCCCTTGATAGATTGGCTACTGTTTCTTCTGTTCCTTCTGTTGCTCTACTGTCAAGAGTCCCTTGATATGCAAAATCTTTAGTCCTGATCAGTATTTGGGGTTAAAACAAGTATATTTGGCCACTCTCACATCTTCAGATCAGCTTTGTAGACAAAAGTGAAAGAGACGGGACCATTCTCACTCAGCCGGTCAGCTCTCAGCCCAAATCTCAAAATAGTGATTCACAGGTATGCAAAAGAGTTTTCTAATACAACGAAGACAGCATGATGTGGTCTGATTTGTTTACTACATTTTCCAGGTCCTCAGATATAATGGCATATTGATGTAAAACAGCTTAATGGAAAGAAGAAAATCCAGAAATGTTTAAGACAACAGAAGGAACTAGTCAGATCCTCTCGAAGATACCAACATCCAATTCCGACAACCGTCATTTGACAGTAGAATTCAAAGGAACTCTAACTATAAAAGCAAAATGCATTTTTTAATAATGGTTTTTGGGGGTTTGTTGGGTCTCATTTAGATCAGTGCAGCAATTAGAGTGAATGTTAATTTTCATAATTTGTAGAAAGAATACCATTATCTCCCCTTTTGGACAGACTAACTCACAAGTGAAAATATTATTAAGCATAAAATGTCAAATGATACAAATATGATAGAGAATAAAACAATACTTTAATACATTTGAATTTTAACAGAAATTCATTTGATGACTTCAGAACATCCAAACCAGAGTACAGCGCTAACATGGTTAGGCTAACACAGATACAGAAACATTCTTCTACATAAAAATGGGCAGGGCGTTCACATCTCTACAAACAAAATTTAGCTCCAAGTGAAGCAGAGTTTCCCCTCAGACTGGTCCATGCCCTTCTTACTCACAGTATTGTCCAGCGCTTGTCCAACCTCTCAGGTAAAGGTAGCAGTCCACTTACTTCCACTGTTGTTCCTGTTGGTTTGTCCTATGTGTGCACCACAGTTATCACAGCAGTCCTGCAGGCGGCAGGATGGCACAGACTTCACAGACTCACGCACTGAGGCCTATAAGGAAGGACAGTGCTTCTGAAAACAGTGGAGGCCTCTCAGTCATCTGAAGTGGATGAATATTATAGGTAATGAAGAGGGAAATTAAAGCAGAGTGTCCAGAGCAAGGGCCACAAAGTGTTCAGCATATTCACGATGCTTTTTTCTGTCTAAGTTATATATGCGTTTTCATATTTTCATATTATTTGATTAAACTACAGACTGTACAGGCCTCTCCTACAATCTGTAATTGGATCTTCATTCCTTCTGTTATATTTGACCAAATTAAAATAAATAAAATTGATATTGCCAAAATATGATATCCTATAAGGATTTATAAGGATGCATTTGAAGGATGATGGAACGCAGTAGGAAAATAAACAAGACCATGGATAAGATGCACATGCACAGCAGAGAAACAAAAACCTCAATAGATCGAGCCCAGTGTGGATACTTAAGGAAACGCTGACATCTAGTGCATGACTCAGGAACTGCGTTAATCAGTGAAACTAGTTTTTTTCTAGTGTACTGGTGCCATCTAGTGGTTACAAATGCTAAACGAGAGAGTGACGTCACTCTGGGCTCTTAAATCACTCGCTAACATGTCGCTCTGAAACTGAACCACAGCAGCTTGCGCAAGATCAATGAGGCGTAGCTCATAGTTCACAGTATTGTGTGAATTAAAAATAAAGTTGACACATTATCCATATTATATTACAAATAGAATTGATCTGGTTTGAACAAATCA